CCAGAAGTAGAATACATAAAGTCTGAATTTTCCTTATAATTATGTGCATACCGCACTAATTGTTTTTAAGGGAAAATGTAGCTGTTTTATTCTAGAGTTTTCCTTCCTGTCTGCTTTCGTTTTATCATTTCACCTATTCCAAAATTAACTGTGTGATTTTAGAAATTTTCAGAGAGCATCAAGGGTAATTAATTTGCTTTAATTTATTCAAGTACCATCACGATGACATCGTAGCACAGTTCTTTTATTGTGTATGCATACCATTCATTAGTTGTAAAGGATCTGAAATTAGGTTCAAAATTCTAAACACTATTGAATGAAAGTGAAGTTCGCTACCAATCATTTTCCCATTCTAATTTTCAAGCCAGTTAAAATTGGAAAAAATTGCGATAAATCTGGAAATATTATTTATTAGAAAAAAATAAATATAAGAGTGAAGAAAACAAAAATGTGACAGTTGGGACGAGAAAGAAAGTAACTATTATGGATTAATCATTCAGGGGAAACCACAACATACTCCATTTCCAACAAATTATTCCAAGCATTATATTAAAATACCAAACATGGATATGTATATATATATATATTACAGAATTCTTCGAGCAAGCTCAAGGCTTAGCATATATGTTACAAGCTCGTGGCGAGCGCATGTGTCGTATTTGGTTCGGTCCTTGGCCATGGGTTTTACTCTATGGAGCAGAGGAATGCGAAGCCATTCTCGGAAGCAATAAAATCTTAGACAAACCCTTACAATATAGCTTTTTAAGCGGTTGGATTGGACAGGGATTACTCATCAGGTTGTACTTTACTTTTGTCAAATATTTCGTAGTTTTGAAATTTTTTGGTAAGGTACGAATTTTTTACTACATTTTTTTCTGAAAAAGTTTAACAAGTTGCAGGTGCTAGAAATCGGGCAAAGTTGCTTCTTTACTTGAATGAAATGTAATATTTAAAAAAAACTAGAAAACTTTGAATTTGCAAGTTTCCTTGTGGAAAAAATTGATCCAATTTCGCGGTGTCATCGATCTCCTACTAGTGCTTGATAATAGTGCATGCATATAACCGAAAAATCTAATTACTTTCTGAAATGAAAATTAGCCCAATTATGAGTCACTTCCTTAACTCATTAATAAGACCCGAAAAATTGGACAGTGATAAATCTATTCGTTATAACAAAATTTCGTTCAATAAAATATAGAATCACGGTTTTTCTTCGCTGAAATCATGATAATTAATCCCTCAAATCTTTATTAAGAAGCAAATTTAAAAATAGAAAAGAGAAAAGAAGCAATCGTATTACTAATAGGAGGAGCAAATGCAAATTACTTTTCTGGCACTAATCGTGCAGATCGTTTTCGGACAAAAAAGAAAGAATTCTCATATGCGATGGAAATATTTAGAATGCTTCTCTTCAATCTATCGAAAGTTACAATTCCACGTATGAATTTGAAGTGAAGTATAGATATGAGGGAAATATTGCTGAATGGATCAATTCTGATTAAGTCACTCAAACGATACATTTTGCCGTGAATGATGGAAGTTGATTTTTACCGTTTTTCACTTGTGTTTGCCACAAGGGAGCAAGTAGTTCCGCACAAAACATAGTTAATTTATTGATTCTTTATTCAAATATCTGAAAAACGTTAACTTAAGAACCAAATTTACCTAATTACTTGGACAACAAATTACTTTTATTTGTTTTTCTTTTTCATATTTTACCTATTCTATTCCTGTAGTTTATTGTTATTTCACCACGTTGCCGTCATCTTTTTTTCTTTTAATTGCGAATAATTCATTCTATTTTTGTTTTCTCATTTTTGGCTTCATTTCAGTGAGCCAACAAAGTGGCGATTGCGACGAAAACTTCTCACGCCGACATTTCATTATGACATACTGAAGGATTTTGTTGATGTAAGCAAAAGCCTCTGCAAGTGGCTTTGTAAATTGTGTGGAACCGAACCCTATGCTTTGGAATGATAAATATAACAATCAGACCCTTTTAGTCTCACGTGAACTCAATCTTTAGGTATACAATAAGCACGGACAAACACTGTTGCGTAAATTTCAAGCATTGTGTGGTGATCAGTACAGTGATATATTTCATATGATATCACTGTGTACCTTGGATGTCATCTGCGAAGCCGCCCTTGGGGCACATGTTGATGCCCAGAACAAATCGTCTCCGTATTTGGAGGCTGTTTGCAAGTTTGTTTATTTAAGTTATTTGATCAGCATTCAAAAGGTTAACGATTAAATACAAATAAATAAGGAAATAATGGACGTTAGAATGAACAAAGAAGCTAAAAAACATCAAATTCCTTCCAATCATACGAAGCAAAACAAGGAAGAATGGTGGTAAAATTTTTCGATATTTCAATTTTCGAAAAATTTACGTCCGTTTCAATTTCAACGTTTGATATACCTTTGTGAGATTACTTCCTTTTCTCGTGATCGCATTGGAAATGAGTAAAAAAAAAAAAAATAGATTTAAGGATAAAATATATGATTCATCAACGAACACTGAAGGCGCATTTCTACTTCGATACTATTTATAATATATTTGGCAGTGGGAAAGATGAGAAAAAATGCACTAAAATACTTCATGAATTCACTGGCGCGGTAATTTGGTGACATAATCTTTTGCTTCAAAAATATATAAATCCTCTCATTATGCGACTTATTCAAATAACAATGCTGCGAAAACTATCGAGAAACTTTCCCCTTTTCACCTTTATGCTGACATTTTGTGAAAAATCTGCTTTTATTAAATCCAATTAATCTTACAGGCAATAGCAAATCGCAAAAGACTGGTCGATGAAGCCGGAGGTGTCGACAACCTAATGGAGAAAGAAACACTGTCAGGTATGGCAAGGTTGTTACCGAATAAAACATCGTAACCTATTTACCAATCATGAAGTACTGCATGTTAAATATTCATTTTAAGGCAAACGACGTATGGCGCTTCTGGATTTCATGCTTGATTTGCATGCGAAGGGTCAGTTACCTATGGAGGGTGTGCAGGAAGAAGTGGACACATTCACTTTTGAAGTATCTTTTTATTTTATTATTCAACGATTACATAGAATTATCTTTCAGTGACGGATAAGCTTGAAAAGGATTTCAGGCACACGACACGACTTCAACAAGTATGAACTGGTTTTTACACTTGATGGGTACCAATCCGGAAATTCAAGCAAAAGTTCAAAAGGAAGTTGACGAAGTTTTAGGAGAAGGTATGCAGCCTTATATATGTATATATAGTTAGATAATACTGTATCGAGAATTTTCAGAGAACAGACCTGTAACATACGAAGACCTCGGACAACTGAAGTTCCTGGAGGCCTGTATCAAAGAAACACTGCGATTATTTCCCAGCGTACCTGTGCACGCCCGACAATTGACCAAAATTACGAAAATTGGTAAAATTTCTCCACCATTCGAAATGCACATATCGAATTTCAAATCAGTAACATGTTGTGACCTCTTTCAAACTCCGTCTTGTTGTCCTGTCGGCATCTATAAACTAATCCTTGCGGCAACTATGCCTAAATTCCTTAAATTCCACCTGAATAATCGAAGGCGATTTCTGATCGATCATGAAGAAAATGTTTTGTAACTTCTAATTCCAGGAAATAAAGTGTTGCCACGTGGTACAGGTGTTTTGATTATCGCGTCAATGATTCATCGGGATTCACGATATTGGCCAGACCCAGAAGTATTTAAGCCAGAACGATTTATCGGTAGCCAACTCAGACATCCGTTTTCATACATTCCTTTCTCTGCTGGACCTAGAAATTGCATCGGTACTAGATTTTCGAGACT